TCCTATTTATCTTACAAGAATGCACATGCACAGGACATAATGCCTGAGTGTTAATAATGTAATGGTAAATTATTTTAATAACAATAATAATAGTAATTCAGCGTTGCTTATGATCACATGGATGCATGGAAAGCGAACACAGCAGCATGTCAAGCTATTCCAAGCCAACAAAAACTGGAACCTCCACCTGCCCTGTGAACCAAGCAGGGAACCAGTGGTTTTCATCCAAGGAGCTGCTGCTGCAGACACAACTCGTCCCAGAATCAGAGTGAGTTGGAAGGGATCCCCAAGGATCATTGAGTCCTGATGGACCATACAGCTGAGGCTGCAAGAAGATGTGGGGTGGATGCTTTGCAGGTCCTTTTTGCTCAACACGAGCCTGCTGAGATTCCACCTTCAAACAGCAACAGTTCAGCATTCTCTACAGCAATCCATATGACACACCAGGCTGATCAAGAGGAAATATCAACAAGCCCTAACACAGATGTGCAGAAAGTAACACTTATATAACAAGGAGGGGTTTATCACGCAGTGAAAAAGCAAAACATTTTGGTTTTCATGACCAGTATTGTCCTGCTTTGTTTTGAAGCTCCCTGGCAGAGCTGATTTCAGCAGAGGCCAGCTCAGGAGTCCCCGCTCGAAGGCCAGTCCCACGCAGCAGCTCCCCGGGAGGACTGGCCTGACCACAGGCTGCCGACCCCGGCTCGGGGCACCGCGCCGGCCGCGGACACCGCCCGTGGATCGGCTTTGTTCCTGCTCCGCTGCCCCGCAGGGAGAGCTGCATTTCAACAAACACCACGAGAGCTGGAAACAGACTTCTTCAAAGGGCTTTGCAAACAGAACTCAATCCTGGCATAGCGGGACACGGTGAGAGAGCTGTTTGTACAGATGGAGGACGGCGGGCAAGGGGGGGGTCAGGCTCTGCCTGCCCTCAGCGGGGCCGGCATTCGGGGCTCAGACCCCTCGTTAGGGACTCGTTAGCTCACAGCCACCTGCTCCCACCACGGACACCACCGAGCCCAGTGCCCGTGTGTGCTCTCCGGGCACGGAGGAGAAGCAGCAGCCGCTCCTCGCCCATGTGCCACGCGGGGCGAGCGCCCAGCGCACACGGGCAATGAAAACAAAACGCAAGGTCGGTGCTGCGGAGAGCGAGGGTGCCCGGCGCGGCAGCCAAAGCTGTGGCTGGGCGGTGGAACCCGAGCCCCACACGCCGGGGTCGGGCACTCGCCCAGGCGCTCATTCTGGCAAGAGGTGAATGCGCGCCGGGCACGGGCAGCCCGTCGCGCTAGGACACTTGCGGGACTCGAACCTGCCACCTGCAGGACCGAAAACAGCGACGCTGCGCCGGCGCCACCGGGCGGAGTTGGATGAAGGTTGTCGAGCCGCCTTGTGATTCTTCGCGCCGTCCGCCCCGGGGCCCCGCCCGCCCACTCCTCTGTGCGGGCCGTGCTGCTCCAAGGGAAGGGAAAAGCCCTCATCCCTTCTGCCCTGCCTGGCACAGCGGCTTCTCACAGCTGCCTTCTCCCTCCAGCATCCGTGCGGGACGCGCCCGTGGCTGTGCAGAGGCGAGGGACTCCGCTCCCTCTTTTTTCACCATCAGTTTCAAAGCACAAGGGACTGCACAACACTAGAGGATCTTCCCGACGGAGAAAGAGTGCCCAGCACAGCAAATCGCTCAGCAAGAAGTTCACGGTTTCTTTCTATCATTACCTGAAGAGAATGATGCTCCCGCATTCACCCAATTCACATCCCAACCTGCTCACAAAGCTGGTAATCTTCTAACCCACCCACTGCGGGGTGTGCAAGATTCTCCTCTGCCACACCTTCCATTCACACTATTAGATACAGTAAGTAAGTAAGTAAGTAAGTAAGTACAGTAAGTAAGGCAGAAAAATGAAGTAATATAGAGAAAACATTACAAGAAAGAGTATTACTGCCGACCTCTGCCAACCACATACCTGGGCAGGCAATGGCAATACCACCAGTCCCAAAAGCTCCAAAAAAGGAAATTTACAGCAGAGTTCTTGCTTAAAGTGGAAGTTTCCCAGTAGAAAACTATTTTAGATTAACAAATTTTGTATTTCCTTAAGACAGTACTATTGACTGAGAGTGAAAAAAGCCAAAATTTACTACTGGAAGAAAAAACTAGTTTATGTTTAGTGTGGTATTTCAGCATTGCCATGTTCCAGAATTCAGTTCTAAAAATATTCAGGACGTGTTGAGTCATTCATAACAGATTTAAACCCTTTGTTGTAAAATCTTCTGAGAAAAACAACACACTTGTTTTTTTCAGTTACCTTTTATACATGCTGTTTTGTAGTCTCTGAAGTAAGAACCTCCGACGAATTTATGGTCTACAGGCTGAGAAAGATTGCTCTGAATGATTCTAATCACACAAAGATGAGTAGAATTATACTGTAAACTACTTTGTATTAGAAATATTTAACATTTAGGACAGAAGTGACCTCTAATTCTTTCTCTCTTGGGTCTGCCCCAGTCTCACAATTACTTCGGTTACTTGATGACACTTAAAACTCTTTCAAGTTTATTTATTTGAAGACAGAGTTATCAAAATAGTGATCTGTGAAATAAAACCAACTAGAAATATAAATAACCCTATTTGCAAAACCTATTATTTCTCCATCCCTAACCCCACTCTCTTCTACCCAATCATGGATCTCTTCCTTCCCCTTAGCCGAACCTCATCCAGCTTTTTGATCACAGGACCAGACTTTTTAGACGTGGCTGCATAGGTCTTTAGCAGAGCTTGGAACATTGTTTCGGTATCTGGATGAGTGCTAATGAAGGCTTTTTCCAGAACATACAAATCAACTCCTTTATCCTCTGGAAGACCTGAAATAAAACTGAGTCCAAAGTCTATCAACACCAAGTCCAGCTTGTCCATGGGTGGCCGCAGGAGGAGATTGGCAGTTGTAAGATCCCCATGGATAATATCCTCATCGTGCATCCTTGCTAACAGCTCACCCATCTTCTCTGCTAACTTATGGAGGCCACTGGTATCACCTCCACTCTTTTGTACAGAATAAATATGATCCTGAACAGTAATTGAGTCTACAATATCTTCAAGATAGATGGAGTTGGTGACATAATCCACGAAGTAGACCACTGGAGCTGGAATCCCTATTTAAAAGAACAAATCAAACGCCAGCAGTTAATTTACATGATTCCCAGCTTTATTTTAACAACAAAACACAAGCGACAAAAGCCTTTAAGCAGAAATGCCAGCTGAGATCACACCCCGCCACTGATGATCCACCCCTTGGAAGAGCCCGGCCAACACTCACTTCCGAGCCATCTGCACTGCCCTGCAGTCTTACAACGACTTGGCAGCTCAAACCTTCTGACAGCCTAGCCCTTCCTGGGGAGAGATCCCCGATAAAACACGCTCTGGGACACACCGAGGGCAATACGAGTTTTAGGGGCGCTCTGAAAGAGCAGAGCGTGTCGCCCCGGGCTCAGAAGAAGCCCCCGCATCCTTCAGGATGGCGCAGGAAGGCGCCAAGTGCCTGAGATCCGCTCGGAGCGACGCGAATTGCCGGGCTGATGGGGTTCACACCGCCCCGCGGTGTCTGTCCATGTGTCCTGCCGGGCCTGCCCTGCTCACCCCGCCCCGGGATGTGTCTGTCTGTCCGTCTGTCCGTCCGTCTGTCCTGCCAGGCAGCCCCGGCCCGGCCCGCCCGTCCCCGTGCCCACCTGCCCGCCGGCACCGCAGCAGTGACCGCGCCTCCTGGGCCATGCGCCGCCGGCTCAGACGCTCCTCCAGCGCGGGGTGGCGGTACCGCTTCGGGACGCGGAGCTTCGCCACCGCGGCCCGGCCGAGGAACAGCCCGCGGTACACGTGCGCCTCGGCGCCCTGCTGCACCAGCCGCAGCCCCGGCAGCGCCGGCGGCACCGGCGGCTCCTCCGCTGCCGTGGCGGCGCCCGCCTCGCCCTCGGGACCGTCCACGGCGGGGCCGGCGACCCCCTGCTCGCCCATGGCGGGGCCCACGGGCCCCACGTCACCAATCCCAGGGCCCGCGGACCCGGCCGTGACCGACCGTGCACCGCCCGCCTCCGCCTGGGCCGCCGCCATCACTGGGACCCACACAGCGCATGCGTGGGGTTCCTGTTCGGCAGTGCTCGGTACTTTCCGGCCATCTTCGGCAATGCTCGGTTGGCCGCGACGGAAACCTACGAGCTGGCGAGGCCCGGCCCGGCTGTACCGCTCCGCTGCCCTCGCTATAACGCGCCCTGCACCGCTCTGCTCCTGGTGCTGCTCCTTCCAAACCCTTCCCTGTGCTTCCCCCCGTGAATCCCGCTGCCCTCTGCTTGCCTCTGCCCTGCCGGGGGACACTGGGTAACTGCAGCATGGTGGGACTTGTTCCCGAGCATTCCCGAGCCGGCGCGTGCTCCCGTGGTTTTGCCGGTGCAAGAGCGGGACCTGCAGCTGCCCCAGGGCTTGCGAGGGAGATGTTGGCTGCACGTCTTCCCGAGGTGGCAAGCGGGAGCTCGGGAACCCCCGAAGCTTTCCCAGCATCACCGTGGAACCCCCCTCCAGGCCATCATCCCCGGGACACCACGGCATCGCCCCCACCACTGCAGCATCCCCATGGGGACTTCATCCCTGCTGTATCACCATGGGGACTCCATCTCTGCGACATCACCACCAGCATGGTCCATCACCGCCTCTTGTTCTTTCATGTGCCAGAAGCCTGTGCAGACCCACTGCAGCTGCCCAGCTGGTGGCTGGGAAGGAGAAGGGATTTGCCCGTAAGCTGCAGGGGATCAGCAGCCTGCAGCAGGGCATGGTGTGACCTCAGGTCCCCATGCTGGGCATCACCAAAGCTTCTGCCCCAGGTCTGTCATGGGCCACTCATGCCATGAGTCAGGTGACTCCCCCTTCCTCGAGCAGCCAAGTCCCACATTTCTATCTTACTAAGAGATAGATAAACTCATTATCCTCATAAACCTCACTGGAGCAGTATTTGGGTTTTTACGGCACCCTGAAAACCCACTGCCCTACTGGGTGATGTGCACATGCTGCAAATATGTTCCTCAGAAGATACAAGGGAATTCAGCCCAGTCCATGTAAATATGTTTTCAGTTGTTGCTTTTGGAGGTGTCACAAGTCCATTTTGTCTTTGTTTTCTCACCCACAGCATTTGTTTCCTTTTCAGAACATTTATATTTTATTAACACATTCCACAGAGCTTACATGTCATTGCACGGTGGGATCATGCCTAGCAAATATTTATCTTGCCTCAGAGACAACTTTTAAACAACCTTCCCAAGCTTTCAGTGATACAGATAATCTACACTGCGCAATTCTGCCCACCTGTGGCACCCTCCTGCAGCTGCCCTCACTGTGGCAGGGCTGCAGCTTGCCCAGGGAATGGGGTGAATTCCTGGTCTCTATGGCTGGAATTTGCAAATGCCTCAAACACTCAAATAAAGCAATGTGTTTTCCCGGTGTTGTGAACAGATTTTATCAGAGCATCCGTGCACAGATACCCCCACAGACACACATACATAACCTATAAGCAAGTGCACACACATAGCCTTCGGTTCATTATTCTGGCAAACATGATGCTTTTCTCTCATGCTGGCCAAAAACCTCCTCCAGAGCTTTCAAAATACGAAAGAAAATATTTTTGCTTTATTTCCCCCTTTATTTTATTTATTTAAATTTTATCTTCCCCGTGATTTCACTTATTCTTTTCTCTTTTAATGCAATAAACAGTTGACATAGCCCTTGGAAACTAACTGGAGCCATTTACAATATTTATGGTATCACCCAGTATTTTTATTGGAATACTGAATCACCCCAGAGAACTACTCTGAAGCCACAGACTGGTAAATGATTTCATTATGTAACTTTGTGCTCCTGGTGACAAGAATTTACAAACTCTCACAAACAGTGTAATTAAGTTAAAAATTGCAGCACAGCAAGCCAAGCTAATGGGAACCAAGGCAGGTCTCATGTGCTCACCCCTGCTGTCCTACAGAGTCCCTTGGCATCAGGCAGGACATAGCCCTGAAAGTAACTCTCCCATCACCCCCCAGCTTATTTAGGGATGGAGGCTGCCATCCTCAGAGCTGGACAGATGGGAAAAGGGATGAATTTGAGTTGTTGCAGGGTGCCATGCTGGAGGCATCCCTAAACTGTGCAAGGAAACAAGATTCCTGGTGGGACCAACACTGCTGATCAGCATTGCAAGGGAATCCCCATGGGTTAGGACATCATAACAGAAAACACAAACACGTGCAGCCTGGCATCAGGAGGAGAAATCTCTCTGGGATGTAAATGAACGTGCAATAAATGCAGGTTCCTGGTGAGCTGGCTCCATCCCGGCCAGCTGTGACACTTCTGCCTGCTCAGGGACCATCACTTCCATCAATAACTGAATTGAGTCTGGTCACTTTGGTCCCCCAAGTCCCTTCCTAAGGGTGAATCATAATAGAAGAAAATACACTTGAGGCTGTGATAAGGATTCCTGAATACCATATCTTCCTTTTTCCAGGATGGACTTCTTTCCCCTCTTGTATTTGTATTACAATTTGCGATTTTAAAGCCTCTTCCAGCTGCTCCAGCTCAGAGGCAGAGGGTAACATTTCCAATAACCACAGGCGGGTTGTGTTACCCAGCACAGGCTGCCGTTCCCAAGCTCCCAAGGCGGAGCTCTCCAGGAGCACATTCCTGCGGCTCAGCCCTGGGGATGTGCTCCTTGGCTGCCAGGCAGGAACGCGCCCCGCAAGCCCGGCAGCCGGGAGCGAGATAAAGATCGCACGGGGAAATGGCACTGCCAAGACACACGGACTGCGAGGAGGAGGAAGGCATCACAGGAGGGAGCAAGGACAGGAACGTGCCTGCAGGCACGGAGCATTGGTGGATCCAACCCCCCCAGACATTCTCACGTGGAGCTTAGGGACAAAGGGGCTGCTTTCAGCGGGTCCGGAATACCCTACAAAAGGTGGGATAAGCTTAAAGGACCCCAAAGAAAGATTTTTTTTTCTCCTCCAAATTATCCCTGCTGTACATCATAGCAGGTTTTCACCCCTTTTTCTGGAGGACAATAACCCACGGCCTCCACAGTGTCAATGTGGCAGCTGCATTTCTGTACATACTGACGTCATCTTTTTGGCCGCCTTTGGTAAACACACCATAAAGCTCTTCCTGTGCTCCCCAAGACCTCACCTTCTTGTTGTCAGTGCTAATAATATTTCTTGCCATGCCAGAGACCAAGAAGCCTCTTGAAAATGTTCAGGTGGCAGAAAAAATAAATGCTGAGTGACCATAGAGAAAAATACAGTTTCTTCCTTCTTACACTGAAATAATTTCAGAAGGAAGGAATTGTTCAGGCAATTTGGAGATCATGTACCCAAGAGTGAGTTTGTCCTGAGGCTGATGAGAACACTAGGTTCTCTCTGGCTCTCTGCCTGGTGTGGTGGGGAACAATGCATGGGAGACATCTCCTCCAATTCCTAACACAGCTCACCCAAAATGCCTTGGCTTGAGCTCTGGGGGCCAGAGATAATAGGCAAGATCATACTGCATCCCCTGCACCCCCCTGTGCTCCCCAAATGTGGAACATTAGCCTAGAGAGAGAGATGGAGTGTTTGCTGTCTGCCATGGACTGGCCTTCTGAGGGTCTTGGGGAAGGGGGAAAATTGGAGAAATTTCTCCCTCTGCATATCATGAGAGCCGGTTGTGATTTCAGAGATGTTTAAACTGCTCTAATATGAAATGCAAATGCTATTGAAAAGCTCTTCCCATGAACACCACCATGGGTTTCTGTTGGCTGGTGTTTGAAGCAGTTCTTCACCAAGCGTGTGATCCCTGTTGCAGTGTCAGGCTGTATCAGATAGAAGGTTTTAGAAAAGGTGTTTTCACATCCTGTATTCCCACTGAAATTAGAGCATATGAATGGGAAGCTTTTATTTAATTTATAAACCAGGTACATGATTTGACACACTTTCCATCTTCTCTATGATTTTGAGAAGAAACAAAACCAAAACCTTTGATCAACTGCTGCTCGTGTTGCAGCCAGATATCCAACAGACTAAAGCTGAAAGGATATATATGATCCAATATGGCCCATCTCAAGCATCCCTAAACTAGGACTTGGAATAAAATGAGTTGGTACCTCTGCTCTACAGAGCAGAGACATGAGATGTATCCCCATACTTGGAAAAATAACATTTTAAAAATACTTCTCTTAAATTCCCTATTAAGTTAACATGGAGGGTGACTGAAAAGGCTCTTTTAAGAAAAATCACATACTCACATGCTCTTTATTTTCACTCAACCTGTTCATTTTTCCCTGTGTCAGAGGCACAATGGTCACTGATTCAGCCCTTCCGCAGTTCAATTCTGTACTAGGACAAAAAGCTTTACCAGCACAGGCTCTACAGAGTGCTGTTCTGGAGCTTGTGTGGTTATAACATATTAAATATTAAAACTCAATATAGGTTTTTAATGAAATATTACCTGCAGCCACATGCGAGCTCACAAAGCACGTTCGTGGATATCTGCCCTTACCCTGCCTGCTGCAAAGCTCTGCCACTTCTTCCTCACTGTTCCCCACGCCGGCTGGGTCACAGCAAACTCCTGAACATCTCGTGGACTTCAGCACAGCGCGACCCGCCCAGCAGCTGCCATTCACACGAACAGCACCAAGGGGCGATGTTTGCATATGATGTTAAAGGGTTTTGAAAGCACTTCGAGGTGTATCACGTTTTGTATAATCCTTGTTTAACAAGCTGAACTTTGGGACATGTGAAATAAGCCTCAGGAAATAATCTTGCATCTAAGTGCAAGTCTGAGTGTCTTTTATGCAGGACAGCAGGAAGGTTCCTGTTCCACTCAGCAGAAAAAGAATGTTAATTGCAAAGGAAGTTGAATACTGAATGTTTTGTCTGATGGAGCAGGAGATAAGCTTGAAAGATTGATTCTTTCAGCCATGAAAGAGGGCAAACTCAGACACAGAATCACAGAATCATACACTCAAACAATATGCTGAGTTGGAATGGACCCACCAGGATCATTGAGTCCAACTCCTGGCCCTGTACAGGACACAGCAACAATCCCATCAGGTGCCGCAGAGCATT